TGATGAAACATTTGTAACAAAGTCAAGGGGGTTGATATGAAAGCTTATCAAAGGGGGGAGGTTTTTGGATTTGGGATTGTTCGTTTTTTATAACCGATCAACAAAGAAAGAAGGCTTTCTCTTTCAAATTTGCATTGGTTCATCAAGGAATATTGGATTCACCAAGATAAAAAATGATGATCATTCAGCACGTCTATCCCATTATCTGATTTTGGAGTGCCAAAAACAGATGCGACAAAAAAATGAAGAAGATGAGTGGGCTAGATGATTGCGGTGGTTGGAAAATGATTGTATGTCAGAATCGCTCAAAAAGATTCTTGGGGCTCAAGTAAATTGAAGCTGACTGCAACAAAAGAATATGGATTTCGTTCTTGATTTTAATTTTGTAATCAGTGACTTCTTAAGGCCATCTTTTGTTTGTTGGTTGTAATCCATCCTTTTGTATGCCAGCATCGCTAGAAAGATTTCTTGGGGCTGGGCTCAAGTAAATTGAAAGTTGACACAGTCATTAACAACAGATCTAAGGATTGAAAAATCACGACAAAATGGAAAGGAAGTTGATCTGAACCACCAGAAAGGGATCAACAATAATTTTGCAACACAAGAATATGGATTTCGTTGTTTGATTTTAATTTTGTATTAGGGCTTCTAAGCCTCTTTTGTTTTGCTGGTTGGTTGAATCATCTTTTGAATATTAATAAAATTCTCTTTTGGAATAACATTAGTGAATGGTGATTGAATTGTTTAAATGATAAATCACTTGGATTATGATTCTAATGAAATTTTTAATGTTACATCATTACATTGTATATACAATTGCACTCTTTTTGTTTTTTTATTCTTTTAGAACACCAATAGTACGTCGATTAGTAAAGCTACCCGACATAAGATTAATAGAAAAGTTATGACACGAAGAGGTTAATGTCATTCTTCAGACTTCGACATATTATTGTCAACCAGGATTACTCCCTTTTATTTCTTTTCCTTTTTTAAACAACATATAAACGTCCAATTTCTTGGGAATGTGACGTATTATTCATTAACCAAAACCCAAAGTCGCTCCCTTTTTTTTATTATCCTTTTTAAATTCAAATAGAACGTCAACTTATAGGGAAAAAATCAGTTGGTTGGGCTGGATAAATGTTGTGTTAGAAAACGAAGAGACTCCACGTAATATATACTAAACACCACTAGACGTCAGGTATATGGGACAAGACTGGTTTGCCAAGGCATAATAAATGCTACGTTTAAAACAAAAAGATATACACGCACAATACTGACCCCAACTCGAGTCCACGTTATTTGGAAAAATACCGATAGGGACGTCAATTTCCTTACGTATTCGACGTAAAATTATTTGAGGATTTCTAAAAGAAATCCATTATTACGTAGCGTTATAAATGGAAACGAAACAAAGAAAAAAACATAATAACACTAAACATACGAAAAAATGAAAATCAAACACGAAAAGATCCGCAGGGGATTGTTAAAATGTAGAAGGCATTTTTGTGAATGGAGGTATTGTAGCGTTTGAAAAGCGGAGCAACTCCAAATCTTCAACCTTTTTCTTGTAAAATATAGAAGGATTTTTTTGAATAGAGTCTCGTTTAATTCATAAGTGTAACATTATTCCTCTGGTTGCTACCATGCTCAGCATTAACAACGAAGAAATTCTTAGTTTAGTAGAGGAATCGATAACAAACCAACGGAAAAATTTAACATGAATTTGTTTATGGAAGTTTTGTAGTTTAGTGAAGGAGGAGTAATGTTTTCAAAGGATGCGGAATCCAAATCTAACAACCTTTTCCTTTGGTTTTTTATACTCCTTCTGAAGCTTTTTTGTGTCCTTGAAGGAGATAACAGAAAACAAAGAAAAAAAATTAACAGATGGAATTCATAGCAGAAATTTTATAAATGGATGTCTACAAGTTATCTAAGGCTCTAAAACTGTATTTATAGAAAAAAAGAATAATTTCCTTTGGCTTGATGTGGGCTGACCTTTGGCTTCAATAATAAAATGCAGTCCCAAGGCAAAGGTCGCTCCTTTTATTATTTTTATCTTTTTTTTTTTCCTTTTAACCTCAATAAAACACGTCGATTTTGGCAAATATTCGACGTCTTGTGTAGGGTCTGTTTTTGAAATTCCTTGATAGAGTTTATGAATTTTATGAAGGGAAGGTTTGTAGCGTTTTGAAAGGATTGGAAGTTGTTACAAGTTAACACAAAGAAACCTTAGAGTGTTACAAGAAAAAATTTATAAATGGATGTCTACATAAATAATTAATGTTGGGAAAGGCGTTTGATATGGGTCCTGAGATGGGATTCAATAATATAAAAGAAAGTCTACTTAAAATATTAGAGGTGAACCATGGAGTTTGCTTTGGATAGAAACGAAGTGACGTCAATTTCTTCAAACTTCTAAAGTGTCTTTTTGGTTTAATTCTTTTTTATTTTAATCCAACACTAAACGTCAGATTCCTTGGGTATCTAACGTATTATTCGTTATCCAAGGCAAAGGTTGCTCCTTTTTTTCTTTTTCCTTTTTAAATTCCCATAGAACGTCTAACTCTAGGGGACTTCGACGTGAAAGGCATTGGAGTGGTTCTTTGTTTTGTTATGGGACGTTGAACTTTGACGTATATGCGAGTACGGCATGTCAAAGCCAAATACCCACATAATTTGACTTCGCTTAATAAAATGTCGAAGCCATGAGTACAAAGATGTTTTTTCATTTGGTTTAGAAGAAAAAGGAAAAATAATAAAAAAGGAACTAAATAACAAATCGTATAAGCAGTTTAAAACTGACATTTTCATTTTTAGGTTGATTTAAAATGAAAAAAAAAATATAAACAAATAACTGCTAGCTGAAATATTACAATGTCATTCTTTTGTTACGGTTACGGTTGACGTCATATTAATTAAATCAATATTTAGTATTTATTTATTTTGTATTGGACGTTGACTGCTTCTTTATGGACGTTATGTGATTACGACCAGCACGTCCAACCCCAACTTGTTCGACGTTCTGTATTATTTTAAACGTCGACCCCATAAAGTGAGGGACATTCTGTTTGGTTTATAAGAGAAAAGAAATAAAGAATAATTAAGGGATTTACTCTTTGGCTTCATGCTGTCTTATAAAATGTTGAATATTTGTCATGGTTGACGTCAAATGTGGGTAGGAGTAATACTGCTGGAAGCAAACCACTATTTCGTTATTTTTTTATTTTAAATTGAACGTTAGATGTTTCTTAAGTTGACGTTATGTGATTCTAAGGTTATTGTTTTACGTCGATCTTGGCCTTATTTGACGTTAATACATTTTAGATTATGTTGATATGCTTCTTGTTTGACGTTAATACATTTTAGACGGCGCACTACTTTAGTAATTGACGTGGAGCGAATCAATTTATTTACGATAATGTCACCGGTCATTTTTAACGTTGGATATTGAGTGTTACGACCTTGAACGCGTGACGTTATACGCTGTTTTTCCACTAGTGAATATACTTTCATTCGAATTTAACTTTATAAAAAATAAGATATATACACTGGTATACTAAATTTATGTTTTATCTAATCAATATTGGATTCCAATATCATCATATGCAACGTTATTAAAAAAATTTATTTGACTATTTATTTATCTTTTTGGTGGTCACCTACCTCTCATTCATAAAGTTTTGTCGAAATTCTTTAACTAGAGATAAATTGTTTTTGTACACGCATATGACCCATATGATTCCCTATGAAATGATTAACATTTTTACTTCATTTCTTTTGCAAATAAGACTTGGAACAGAAACAAATGATAACAAAGCTTTCGCTTTAACAATTTTGCGAAGGACTTATTTTATCAATACTATTTTTATATATAAATTTCATTTTTAATGATGCAATAACACCAAAATATATAATTTCAAAGTGGACTAAAATATATTAAATAACTTAGAGATTATTTTTCACATTATAATAGTTTTTTGTAAAACTTAAAAAAAATTATTTATTCAAGAACTTGTAAATGAAAGTGTATTATAATTTAAAATTTTGGTTTAATGTCTCGGTAGGTCCCTATTTTCGGCGTCTCAATTGGGTCCTTTTTTGTGTAAAATTGTAGCAATTAGGGGTCTGCCGTCAAATTGAACAAACGGCCGTTTAATTGTTTGTTAGGTGGCATGAACAGTGTTTTCAGTAATCATAGGTGGAATTAAAAAAGAGTTTCAATTAAAAAGTATGAGGTTAAATCAGCTTTAGTGAGAGGGCATAGTGGGAAAACTGATTATGATTCCCATCTCACACTGACTTTCTATCAAACACCTTCTCTTCAACCTCGCGCCACGTCAGCCCTATCATCTTCCACCCACTGAAACCCTAACCCTAGCCGCCACTGCCGTTCCGCTTCCGCCGCTCCCGCCAATGCCGCAAGTCGTCGCCACGGCCAGAAAATCATCTCCTTCCTTTCTCGCCGGCGCATCAACGGACCACCACGGTGCCTCAACCAAGACCGCCGCCACCTTCCTTCTCCTTCGCGCAAGGGTTTGAAGCCACCACGACCGCCATCTGCGAGTTCGTCTTCGCATCACCAACATCTCGCTGCCGTCGCACAAAGTCACCGTCCTCTTCTCCACCACCATCAACCACGCCAGCCGCCGCGACACCACTCTTCTCACACGCAAATCATCGAACACGCACCAGCCACCGCAACCTTCATCGCGCCTCTCCTCCATTGACGAAAGCTTGGCACAACCATCTTCATCTTCTCCATTCTCGGAACCCAATCGCACCTTCATCTTGGATCATCACCTCGCGATCTTCACCAACCATGCCGCGACCACCACTAACCTCCCTCACCTCGCGAGCTTCCTCGCCGTTGCCCAACCTCCATGGCAGCCATCACACGCCACCGCACCTTCCCGCTCTACAATTGAACCTGCATAAAAACCATACCTGCAAAGAAGAACCCAACAATCACAAATCGCGCACTGTTAGGCGCATGACCCATGGCTTCCTCAAGCGGAACATGTTCGGGTTCATCCTCTCTGCTTCAGAACTCGGGTTCTGAGGAGGACTTGCAAGCATTAATGGATCAGAGAAAGAGGAAGAGAATGACATCGAATCGCGAATCTGCACAGCGATCTCGCATGAGGAAGGAGAAGCACTTGGACGATCTGGTTACCCAAGTGGCTCAGCTGAGAAAGGAGAATCAGCAGATACTCACCACCGAACGAGATCATTGGTTAGAGTCTCTGAACGAGATCATCGAACTCTGGTTGTGTGTGAGAAGGAGAGGGGAAGATGAAGTGGAAATTCCCACTGTGCCCTTTCTCTAAAGCTGATTTAACGTCATAGTTTTTAATACAAAACTCTTTTTTAATTCCACCTATGATTACTGAAAATACTGACCATGCCACGTAATAAACAATTAAACGGCCGTTTGTCCAATTTGACGGCAGACCTCTAATTGTTACAATTTTACAAAAATGGGGACCCAATTGAGACGCCGAAAAGAAAAGGGACCTATTTGAGATTCACGCCGAAAATAGGGACCTACCGAGACATTAAACCTAAAATTTTATATTAAGTAAAAAAAAACTTAAGAAATATATATATATATATATATATATATATATATATATATATATATTTATAAACTCACAAAACATTACAATTTCACGTTGAATATTGTAGGATCTATCGAGGAGGAGATTCACTAAGGAAACACAAATACTAATGACATCTGAGCTCAACCATATAAAGGATTGACCACACTCTTTACCCAAAACTTTAAGGCAATGGGTCTTTCATCTTTATGTAGTGCTCTACTTTCTTATTTCTATCTAATGTGGGACTTAGACTTGAACTTGGATTGCCAACAATCTCCCCCTCAAGGGTGAGTCCCTACACTCCCCCTCCAACAGAAGCATTCCCAACTAACCACAACCACGAGTAGCCCTTTCCAACAGTCGTTCATCTTAACGAGACTTGCTTACCTGAATACCCTTTGCCAAGAAGACTTTCGGTATAGGGATCATTATACTCGTCTGAGCCGGTCACCAAGACAAATCATCCGCTCTGATACCACTTTGTTAAAATAAACACACACAAATAATTTGACTCATCAATTCACTAGGGTTCCTTTGCTGATTTAGCATTCGCTATTTTTTCGAATCCTGACTCATCTACTGCATTGTAGAGAAAATATAATGGTGACCCATCTCTTGCACGTGTTTTCATCAACAGGGTTGTTTGTGCCATCGTCTGATGTTCGTCTTCCAGAGGTTCAACATACCCGCCTTCCACCGTATCCCAAACGTCTTGGGATCTCAATAAAGCCTTCATCTATAGGCACTAATTATCATAATTGGTTTTTCTCCTCAATTGTGGCATACTCATACCATTGACAACCTTTGCCATCTCTCTTAAAACAAATCAAGCACTTTTTTTTCACAGTGTTTGACTCTCTCCTAACAATGGTATCAGAGCTTTATACTCTGAGTACCGAGAGAAAAAAAATAGAGGAGAGAGTCAAACACCATGAAAAAAAAAAGAGTGCTTGATTTTTTTAGAGAGATGACAAAGGTTGTCAATGGTATGAGTGTACCACAATTGTCGAAAAAAACTAATTATGATAATTGGTGCCTACAGATGAAGGCGTTATTGAGATCCCAAGACGTTTGGGATATGGTGGAAGACGGGTACGTTGAACCTGATGAAGACAAACATCAGACGGTGGTATAGACAACCCTGTTAAAGAAAACACGTGAAAGAGATGGGTCGACATTGTATTTTCTCTATAATGTAGTAGATGAGTCGGGATTCAAAGAAATAGTGAATGCTAAATCAGCAAAGGAAGGCTAGGAGATATGGGAGGTTTCATATAAAGGCGACAATCATGTTAGACAAGTCCGAATACAAGCTCTCAGAGGAGAGTTTGAACAGTTGAAGATGGAGCCCAAAGAGCATATAACCGAGTACATAACTCGGGTGGAGAAGGTGGCCAACCAACTCGGTAGGAATGGAGAACAAATGCCATCTAGCCGGGTTGTGGGAAAAATTTTGAGATCTCTTACAAAAGATTTGGAAAGTATTGTATGCGCCATCGAAGAATCGAAGAACTTGTCGGTTCTCACAGTGGATGAACTTGCTGGGTCATTAGAAGCCCACGAACAAAGGAGAAGGAGTTGGAATGATCAGGTTGAACCCGACAATCAAGCACTATAGGTACATTTTGACTCTAATAAAACTCAGATTACTCAAAGCCAAGGTCTTGGAGGCAGAGGCCGAGGAGGCCAAGGATGAAGTGGACGTGGCCGGGGTAATTTTGAGAATGATAGTGAAGAGCAAACCGGTCAACAGAATTGGCGTGATCGAGGACAAGGGAAAGGCCGAGGAGATCGGTCAAGAGTTGAGTGTTTTAAGTGTGGCAAGTATGACCACTATGCAAACGAGTATAAATCAAGCAAGTTCTATAACTATGGCAAGTTTGGCCATATTGCAAAGTATTGCAAAACCGAGACAAAGAGTGTGGAATCCTATTGCTAGCAATATTTTAAGCATGGATCAGATAATTGAAAAGGGTACTTCAATTTTTATGAAGGACCAAGTACTGTATTTAAAGGATGAGCATGGTCGTCTAGCAACCCAAGCAAAAACGAAGAAGAACCGGTTGTATGAATTATAGCTGAAAATCTTGGAGAGAAGGTGCTTGAATCAAGGTATGACTAGCAAGAGCTTGGATAACTCTAACTCAAAGCTGATTGAAAGAAGCAAACCCAGTGTGGGATGATGTACATGGAAAGCTGAATGAAGGAAGGAAGAATTTAAGTTTATGGGGGAGTTTGTCGGGATAAGCTTAAATTTTAGTGTTTTATTAATAATTTTGTTTAAATCTTATTTTATTAGTTTTTGGTCTAGTAATATTTAGTTTGATTTTGATAGAGATAAAATAGGGATAGGTAATTTTGATTTTCGATGGTTTATCTAGATAAAATATTATTTTATGATAGATTTAACGTATTTTATTTTTAAGATAGTTGATCTTTTATTTTCAGTTTTTATTTTTATTTTCGTAATGTTGTAAGTATCACATCTACTTAAAATCATTAATTTATCAATTAATTAATAGCAAACTCAATTTTAAGAAAATAGTGTAACGGATATTTTCTCAACAAATATGTCTTATATCTTATATCTACAATTCATATTTATATGTAAAATGGAACGAAATAGGAATTTTTGTTTCTTAAAAATGGTTAAAAGTTTTACTTTGCACATAAAAACCAGAAAATTAAATGATATAAATAAATTAATAACATTGAATTTTGAGGTTTTAAATCAAAAGTAATATTAGATTTTTATGTATACATCCGATATTTTAGAGATAATGCCATCTTCGAAAATAATTTTATAGGCGGGTGATTTGTCTCGGTAAATCTTCCTATAAAAGTTTCCAAAGCAATAATGAGCTGATCATATATTTGTGAAACATAAAATGTTAGGTTATTGGATAAAAATATAATAATTAAAAAAAAAAACTAACTAAGACAGTTTTTGTATTTTAACTATTACATATTATTACTTATTTGAAAATAAAACAAATGGAAGGTGTAATAAACTCAAATTTCCTTCAACAGTGGGAATAGTGCATTGGTTAGAATTCTTCGTCTGTAATAAGTCAAACAAAAATTTACTTTCATTTCATTAGTTTGTGACTTTAAGACCGTAATTAATTCGTGCTTAATATTTTCTTTTACAAAATAACAAAGTTAATTTAATAACGTATAAAACAGTTTCCTCCATTCTGGAGTTACGCCCTTTTTTTCAGATAAAAATACATAAAAAAGTTCCATGTATCTGTGTTTGCATTAATGCACTACAAACACAAGAAGACGTAAGTATTTTTGAAGCTTTGCAAAACGGAACTATTAAAATAAAATCATAAAGAACAATTCTTTACCCAGTTAAGAAACAAAATAAAATGATTTTATGAAAAAACAAATACGTTATCTATTTATTTATAATAAATTAATTTCTACAATTAATGTTATTAATCACAAACTATCCTACATGAAAAATTGTATTTTTGTAATAATTATCTTTTGTTGACTATTATATTTCCTTCAAACATATTAAATCTGAAACTCTGTTGATTTGATAATAAATAATGTTATGTATTTACAATAAAAGAAATTCTTTAATATTATTATCGCAAACTATCCGGAAGGAAAAACTTTATTTATAATAATTATCTTTTACTGACTATTATAGTTATTCTCTTAAAGCATATATTAAATACGAAAGTGTGTTGATTTTATAATAATTATTTTAATATCGTGACTGGTTTAAAACTTTACCGTGACGATAGTTTAGTAATCACTCTTACATTGTTTTATTATTTAAACTTATATATACAGAAATAAAAATACAATAATTTTTAATAAAATAATTATAAACAATTTTATTTTATTTTTCTCATTTGTATGTCATAATAAATACACTATAAATTAAATAACGATTAAGTAGAAAAGAAATATATAACTATTACAAAAAGATAGATAAATGAAAAAAAGTTTAAGAATATCTTTCAATTAAAAAATATTATTGAACCCACTATTTATGTGATAAATTTACTATTTTAATTAATGATAATTATTTTAATAGTCATAACTCAAAGAAAGAAATAATCATAACATAAATTATTTCTAATAGTTATATATAATTAGTCAAAAAAAAAAACCTTTACCGTTACACAAATATACATCAAATAAACTATTTATAAATCTAAGTTCTTTATATTTTAATTTTTACATTCATCTTGCACATGTTTGTTGACTCACTCTCTTTATCACATCAAATTTTTAGTCAAATTGAGGGCCCAAAGTTCTTGAGAATCACAAACACACTTCACAAATCTGTCTAAAAAATTTCCCATAAAGTTACTTAGGAGTACATAAGTATTCTTCTTTCTCTCATTACAAATCCTAATTATTCTATAAGTCCATAAAGTTTGGATTCTTGAGTGCCTAGTCTTTAAATTATATTAATAAATACTGATTTTAATATTTTAAAACATTAAAAATTAGTATCCATATAGAAAAATAATACCAAAAATTCAACACGGAATTTCAACTTGAGTACCAAAATAATAAATAAGAATCATATATAAAAAAATATATATATATATATATATATATATATATATATAATAAACACACATATATATATAGATATAGATATATATTTAAAACATTAAAGTTAATATTTTTTAAATAAGAAATAAAAGATTTAGGTGTGTAAACTTTGATTTTACTTCACAATAAAAATATTTTTTTAACATAATGATAATTTGTTCTATAATACCANATCTGTCTAAAAAATTTCCCATAAAGTTACTTAGGAGTACATAAGTATTCTTCTTTCTCTCATTACAAATCCTAATTATTCTATAAGTCCATAAAGTTTGGATTCTTGAGTGCCTAGTCTTTAAATTATATTAATAAATACTGATTTTAATATTTTAAAACATTAAAAATTAGTATCCATATAGAAAAATAATACCAAAAATTCAACACGGAATTTCAACTTGAGTACCAAAATAATAAATAAGAATCATATATAAAAAAATATATATATATATATATATATATATATATATATAATAAACACACATATATATATAGATATAGATATATATTTAAAACATTAAAGTTAATATTTTTTAAATAAGAAATAAAAGATTTAGGTGTGTAAACTTTGATTTTACTTCACAATAAAAATATTTTTTTAACATAATGATAATTTGTTCTATAATACCAAAACCCCAAATTTGATTATCCTCATTTTCTACCCTTCTTATTTCATATACCTGTTACATGTAAAAAACAAAACTTGTGGGCACAATTCTTGGTTGTCATTTTTTTTTTTGTTTCCCTTAACGTTGTCTCTAATTTTCCTAAGCCAATGTTCCGTTGCATCCAAATACAAACAAAAAGCAAGCCAGCTTTGAAACCTGTGCTCAAACAAACACATCATGGACCAGAACATCACAGTTCCAAGAATTCATGCATTCTCATCACCACCTTCCCCTCCCTTGTTTTCCTGCATCATTGCCCTTTCCATCGCAACACTGATTTTCATGTTCTTCTACGTTCTCTCACCCATTGTTTCAGCAGCCATTCTTCTAGCCCTTTGCATCACCACCCTCCTCCTTTCCAGGTTCACCCACAATCGTCAATTCACCCAAACATTCTCCTTTCACGCACACACTCCACCCAAAAACCAGAGGCTGGTCAAAATTTTCAATAACCTTTTCTGGGTCGTTGAAGAGAAAACAAGTGGCCAAACGCAACAAGTCAAGAAGCTGCTTGGATCTATCGTATGCTTCGGAAACCAACCATTTCTGTCAGGTGAACAAAATTCTTTTTTTTTCCTATCTATGCCTACGAAAATGAACAAATCAAAAGAACATCCTTAAAAATCACGACGATTTCATCTCTAAATCTGAAGTGATTTCTAACGATAGATTTCTGTACACACTAAAATCGGTATGACTCTAGACAAATTCTATATATCTAAACTTAAAATTGTCATGATTTTTTTGAAGACTTATAAATGACTGTAATAATTTTTTACTTGTCCATTTTTCGTGATATCGAAACAAATTTGTCGTAAATACTTGGAAAAAAAAGTTGAAAACTGTTATAAAAACTGTTTATGTAAAGAACAGTGTGATAGAAAGCAAAACATCTGTATAAAATTGTGCAGAAGGTGTTAATAATTACTGATATTGTTGTTGCGTTTTGGGTTTTTGTTGTAGAGAGTGAATGTGCAATTTGCTTGGAAGAGTTCAAGAATGGAGAAGAGTGTGTTGAGTTTTCAGTTTGTGGGCACATCTTTCATTGTGATTGTATCAAACAGTGGTTAGAGGAAAAACCCACTTGTCCAAATTGTCGTCACTGTGTGGCATCATCGGCCACCATGTTGAAAACAACAAGCATGGAGTTCTTGGAGAATTTAGTTTAGTTTTTAGCACTTTTTTAGAACATTTTTTTCTTTGAGGAATCGCAGTAAAAATTAGTGATTGTGTTCATTGATTGCACAGATTGAAACTATAGGAAACGGATTGAATGACAAAGTTCCTTCTTTTCCGGCTGATTCGTATGAAACTTTTTTGTCAATTTTTTATTTTATTTTTATACTTGATTCATTTTAAATTATTTTATATTTTTAAAAAGATATTATTTTATTAGCATTGGATAAATAGAAAAGGAAGTGTTTGTATCATCACCCAATTTAATTTATATTGCTATATTGTTTTTCCTTATTGAGACTTTAACGCTGATAAACGGAATAAAAGAATCAAATTTTGTAATCTACATATTAGGTAACAATGGCCAGTTTAGTAAGTAGTTCTAAAAATGGTTAAACGCTTAAGGAATGTTTATTGGCTTAATTACATTATCTCGGTTTAATTAAATCCCTAAAAAATTTTAAATTGCAATAATATGTTTTTTTTTTTGTCGATTTAAATCGATATCATTAATTTTATTAATTGTAACATAAATTGTATTGTGCTTGAATTTAAATTGTAATGTCTTTTTTATTTAACAATTTTTTATCTAATTAGGTAGATAATGGTCACCTTACATATTTTAAATTAGACGAGTTAATTGAATATTTTAT